GAAATAAAAATCAGTTTATTCAGCTGCTTAGTCAATTAATCTTATTAATTAGTTAATAATTGTTATTAGTAGCATTTACGCATTACGTATCGAAAAAGTCCCCAGTTTGTGTAGGCACACACTTGTTCAAAGACCAAATATATGATGATACTCATTAAGATATATTGTTTTAATCTAATTAAGATACTACACGGAAAGAACGGTTTTACTAAAGCATCTACAGATATAGCTAAATACAGATCCGTAAATATAATTTTGTTGGACTATCAAAACAATTATGCCGAACGCTCAAACTGATTGTTAAAGTGTTAACATTTTTTTACATCATGTTTGATATTCTTACGTAATTATTCGGATTGTGAAATAATTACAATTATTTTCAGATCTGTATCTAGCTAAATTTTTAGATATACGTCAGCAAAGTCATTCTTTCTACCAAATGTACCAAATTTAGCGGTTGTTAGAAAAGCAATTTAGTTGTTAACTTTTGCTCAAATAAACTATTTCAGATCCAGTTTTTCATTTTCTGATTAACTTGTAGTTAGACTTAATCTGATGTTTTATCCAATGGACTTCATCTATGATGATGTCATGGGTGAAATATTAAGTTAATTTAACCATAAATTTATCAGATAATGAAAAATTAGACCTGAAAGTGATAATAAACACTAACCGTCGCAATTCGTCAAGTCGCGTGACATACGTCTTGAGTTAGTTGCATACAGTTGCAGTGTAGACCTTCAAGGGACGTCTATAATATGTCTCCGTATCCTCTATTTTAAGGTTTCCAAACTGTCTCTTGGATAAAATGTGCTGTGTTATGGTTACAATGGAGTCGAATTCTTCCTAAATTCAATACGAGATATCTACAAAAATAAATTTTCAAGTTTCCGACAGATCTCAAATCCATTCAATCCGTCGAAACGTGCGATGCATTGCAGCGTTAATTACAGAAAGAAGAAATGCGGACCCGTTTGCATGGCACGTACCGGTTACATCCTCATGTATATGTATACAGGGTGTTCGTAACGATTGGGACCAAAAACCTGTACAGTGTGTTAATGAAGTCGAGTAGATTGAAGTAGGGAAACCGCATTCTTTCAGAAAGAAGAATTTTTTTTCGAATATTTATTATTACTCGGATAATAAGTGATATTATTAGTTATTACAAGAGTTACAATAAATATTCGAAAATCCTTCCTTTTGAAAAAACGTGGAGGCTTCCATTTGCCAAATTAATATCGAATTCTTTCGAATATTTCTACTGTATTAAAAATAGTAGTAAATACACACACACACACACACACGTTCTGCTCGTAAATTCTTGAACGTTTATAACTTTTTAATAAAACATTTTTAGACATAAGTTTATGTACTTTTTTCATGTTCGGTCCTCGATCTTTGTGGACATCTGTATATATAATTGTTTATAAAAATTTTTTAAATAAATTTTTTGAGAATTTTATTTATTAAAATTAAGTAATAAACAGGCAATAATATCAAGGAAGATACAAGTTTCATAGAAACGCTTCTTTATTAGAAACTATAATTAAATATATTGCTATTAATTAGAGAGCAGTGGGGTGTATAAAATGGTCTCGCTGTTCCCCAAATTACTATTATCTGTATCTATCTCTTTCCATTAACAATTATCTGTACTAACCGCCCATGAATGCCATTATTGACACAACTATATTTCTCATACTATATAGACATACTCGCAATGTATGTTAAGTAGCTATAGCGTATGAGAATTATAGGTATATAACTATTATTCATACGCATCTTGAAATTGATCGATATATGCTCGATTGTTTTCTGTTTATAATTTCAAGGAATCGATTAACGATGTACTAACAATACTTACGTAAATAAATGACAATTACAAAATTGTTTCATTTCATATATATTTTTATCTCAATTAGACGAATAGAAGTTGCAGAATAATTTAAATTATTTTGATAATTTATATTAATAAAGGCTAATTATATCAAATAAGAATCACGATTTTGTGTACGCGCATACATTTGAACATATTTGCATTCTATTTAAATTTTTATCTAATACAGAGTATCCTAAAACCATGAGATTTTATTGTAGTAGTATTATTATTGTGTAGTTTTGTTGATAATAATTTGGCTGTAGTAGTAAATAGACTTTTGAATTAAGCTTCTGAAGAGAGAAAATTATATTCATGGCAATATCCTATTTCTCGGTTATATTATTTAAAATAATAAAATGAAATGAATTTTATAATAGAATTTTAATTTTAAGATTATAGAGAATTGTAAAAAAAAGTAAATAAAAATGGTGCGTCCATTAATAATTTACGTTTCCTACGGAGAAATTGTCTTCAAACGTTACAAACCAGCTGTAATAAAAGGAAATATATCTGATAATTTTCTCTAAATTATAATTATATACATCACGGAAGAAAATGTTTGGTTGAATTAACTGGAATTTTGGTGAAAAATGAACGATCTAGAATTCTAGTTAACTATTAGAGTTTACTAGAATTCTGGTTAAATTTACTAGAATTCTAATAGATTTAACTAGAAAAGCTGAACATTTATTTCAACTAGATTATTTTAATTAGAATTCTAGTAGATTTAAAAATTCTGGATTGTTCATTTTCCATTGTATTCCGCAGTTAATTCAATCAAATCAAGTTTTTCTTCGTGACTCGATACTAACAATAACTGGCGATTTATAAGGGGAATTTAATAGATTTCCGTCGTAAAACTTCTCTGCATTGTGTACTTACAGACGATTATTTCATACCCTAGTTTTATCAGGTTAAGTCAGACCGTACTAATCGATTATCCCTGAAGGTACCCACCGGCCAACATTGAAAGTACCGTCCGTCCAATGCCAAAATTAGATTAGGACAGTCTTGGCGACGATCGACAGCCAACCGATCGTTGCCAACCGATCATATCGGTTACAGAGAAGAACGGAAGGCCGCTGCTTAAAAGCGTGGGCGACGCAGTAGTGAGCGCACCAGATCGGTGGGCGGCTACCAGATCGCCCAATTGGTCGATCGACTCGGTAATGGTTGGTGGGCGTTGGATAAGCTCAGATGCGCGGCCAGCAGTGCGCACTTGGCTCGCTTTACCGGCTCTCTTTCTTTCTCTCTCCCTCGCTCTTTCTTACTGTATACATCCCCACGATGTTCGTTCCCCACCTGGTCTGTATATCGCATCGACTAGGTCTCGATAGGGTCTCCTCTGCCCCCGCGTTTGGCATCTTCCACTCCGCGTCTACCCTTTACGATCAGACCTAATGTAATCGGCAGCTTCTGCGTCTTTGAAAGTTTGAACACCGCGGCCACTTTCTTTCCCCCATATTCACCTCCCTCATCGACACGGC